AATTACACACTTGTATCTGGGAGCACAGCTATCACCAGGTAGATTTATACAGAAAGCTTCTACTACTTTCTCTTATAAAGTAAGCTAACATCATTGTCTGTATACCACATTGCTTTAATACCATATGCTCATGTGATTTGTTTCACTCTTATCCCAAAACTCTCTGTAATGTCTCCCACAAGTCCTCAGCTGATGATTTCAGGGTTGAAAAGATGACCTTAAGTAGACAATTATGCCTGCATTAAAAAGTACCTGTAATAAAAGAAACTGGGAAATTTTGCAACATGATCACTAGCCAACATGAAAGCATGAAAAAAAATTGATTTATGATACTGCGATTGGGTGTTTGGAGGGGTGGATATTATCCTACTTACGTTTTCTATAATGTCAAGTTTTATCTTCAAGGCTTTATTTATTTGTTTACTTAACCACAAAAAAAATTTAGTACTGAGATGTTCTTATCTTTTTCTGATGTGAGGAGAATCATGAGATCGTAGTTATAAACTTAACACAAATGTAACGAGGCTGAGAATCTGATATCTGACAAAGAGTTCTATGGTCTAGAAGTGAAATTCCACAGAGTAAAGTTTTAGAAAGGGCACCAAGTCCCACTGTCTCTGTGGCTGATTTCTGGTGGAGGACAAAGGTATGAGGGCTGGGCAACAGGCCAGAGAGCAAAGTTTGTCTAGGTTTGGTCATATGCTGGTGAGACAGCTCTTTCATGAGTTTGCCCACTGTCTGAGGCAAACTTGGGGACCCCTGGGTAAGAGAAGATTTCTTAGACTTAAATATCTGCTATTAGTTTAGCTCTTTAGTACTTTATTGAGAAAGCCTCCATCTATCCACATCTATCCAGTGTGACCAGAATAAAGGTTTCTCCTTTCTAATTTACTGTGGAAGAACTGGACTAGTCAATATTACTTTGTTTCCAGGGTCCCTGAATCTCTTATCTGAAAACTCTCTTTCTGCTACTTTTCTTGGAAGTCAGTGCATTGCACAGAATAACATTAGTCAATGGGTCATAAAATCCTGTAACATCCTAGTTCATGAGAATGAATATTTTAGGCTTTCCTTTGCTCCTCTGTTCTGTCTTGTCTCTGGCCTTGGCAGTGTGACTCAAAGTAAAAAAAATATTCCCAAAGTCCATTGCAGCAGTGCATGAGTTAGGTTACACCAAGATGACCCTTGCCCCATATTCTTTCTTGATCTCGTGAAACTGTATGGTCTGAAGGTGTTACCTCCAAATTCATATGTTGAAACTTAATTGCCAATGTGATGGTATTTAGAGCTGGGGTCATTAGGAAGTTATTAACATATGAGGACAAGGCCCTCATGAATGGAATTAGTGACCTTATAAAAGGGCTTGAGGGAACTAGGTGGCCCCTTCCATTCCTCTGCCACATGAGGACACAGTGTTCATCTCTTGCAGAGGATGCAGCAACAAAAATCCATCTTGGAAGGAGACTCTGGGCTGTTATCAGACTTACCAGCCTCCAGAACATGAGACATAAGTTTCTGTTGTTTATAAATGATCTGATCTCATATATTTTGTCATACTAGCACAAACAGACTAAATCATGAAGCTTCCATTTTTTTACAAGTCACATGTTGCTATGCAAATCAGGGTTTGAAGGTCATCCACAAGGCCCATGGTCATCTAGGTCTCTTGTCCCATAATGCAATTGTGACTTACTGTGTCATCCAGATAGTCATCCCTAGATATGTGCTTTCTTAGTATGTCCCTAAACTTTCAGCACAAGCACTCCATCCTGGCTGCCAGATTAAAGACCCCTTCTTGACCTCAAATTATCAGCCCACCAATGCAGCAACCAATTTGACACCTGAGTAAAAAGTCAAGGCCTAACACTGGGATCATGGTCAATTTCCCTTTTCTTTTTATCAACCCACTAACAATTACATCTAATTTAGCCTTCTGAGCCCCTTTGCAATGACCATGATTCTCCAAAGTATCTGCTGCTCTTCCAAGTATTCAACATCTGCTTTTTTTTCCTTTTTGTCTGGTTTCTCTATGCTGCACTATTTAATAGACAGTATGATTTTTGTTGGGGGCATATTTTATAAGTATAGTTCTTCTGTCCAGAGTGCAAAATTCCACAGTTATTTCATAGAGATATATAGGATGTGCAAAATTTTATAATCCACTGGCTGTTTCAGTCATTTCTGATCTGCCCTTTTAAGATCTTTTGTTCTGAGAAGAATCAAAGGGTCTTCTTTGAGTCACACAGTTTATGAACTTTTTTTTAAAGGGACTGCTGATTTGAAAGTTTGGGTGTTCATTTCTCCTGAATTATGGGTTCTGAATTGCAGTTATAGGCAGACAGGTTGTATGACCTTACTTCATTTTCCCTTTTCTAAATATGTGGGTGGTGGACATCCTATACATATATTTGGGGTAAGCAAATAATCCTTAAAAGTTATTACCAGGGAGACTGCTGTGGGACTGCATTCTCTTTTGGTGTTTTCCATGCTAATGTTCCTTTGACCCAGCCCTTGGCTCTGTGGGTTAATCTGGGCAAAAGTGGACCTGTACTATGGCGTGGTTTCATGCAGGAAAGTGTCCAGTCAAGGAATGATAGAAGACTTTTCAGGTGTTGGCTTGGGTAGTGAACCATTCTGTTGGATTCCATCCTAACTCACTGTTTTCCTCCTCTGACTGCTATAATTCTCCAGATGTGCTGATGTAGTTTGCTCCAGCTTTGCCTTCATGGATTAATTTATTTAATAAATACGTATGGGCCCTCTATGACATTGGACATGATTCTAGGCTTTTGGGAACGTAGCAGGAAGCAAGACGGTCTAAGGTCCCTATGCAGGTACAGATAAACAATAAAGTAGACAACTGATAAGTTAGTTGCAGGTTGTGGTAAAAGCTAGGAGGGTAGAAACAGTGTGATGTAATGAGTGAAGCAGAGTGTTTTCAGAAGAGGATGGTTTTCAGAAGAGGATGGTCTCACCTCATCAGGGTGGTGACAGTTCAGCTGAGATCTACATGTCAACAGAGAGCCAACCATGAGAAGGTGAGGAACACCATTTTATGTAAAGGGAATGATAAATGTGAAGATCCAGAGGCAAGAAAGATTTGATTGTTTATGGAATAGAAGGGAGGCCAATCTGTCTGTGGCATTGTGAGTAGAAAGGAGAGTGATGAGGAAATGCATTGGAAGGATGAGCAGATCACGCAGTGCCCGAGAGAGCTGGAGATCAGTTTAGAGTGTATAGCAAGTGGAATGGGAAGCTATAGAAAGGTTTTAAATAGGTGAGATATAGGATTTGATTTTACTTTTAAAAACTCTCTCAGGTTGTTGTGTGGGAACAGAGTGTGGCAAGCAGCAGGAGAGATGATAGGGAAGCCATTGCTGAAGTTATTAGTTTAGACATAGATATTTTTTCTTTAACCTTCTTCTTCTTCTTTTTTTTTTTTTTTTGGTTTTGTTGTTGTTGTAGTTTTGAGATGGGGTCTTGCACTGTCACTCAGAACACTGGAGTGCAGTGGCATGATCTTCAACTTCCCAGACCAAGTGATTCTTCTACCTCAGCCTCCTGAGTGGCTGGGACCACAGCTGCACACCAGCACACCCGGCTAGGTTTTTAACAGATTTTTAAATTTTGTGGAGATATCCTTATGTTGCCCATGGAGGTCTCAAAATTTTAGGCTCAAGTGATCCTGCTGCCTCAGCCTCCCAGAGTACTGGGATTATAGGCATGAGCCTTCATGCCCAGCCATCTCCAACCTTCTTGATGTCTTCAAGTGTCAGATCTTATTCAGCTGGGTATCCCTGCTCTAGAAATCTATTCAAGCTGACTACTGGTCTCGGGAGGTTTTGTTCTGATAGGTCATTTATATATTTTCCAACTCTCCTTTATCTATCCCTCCATCCTTCCATCCATCCATCCAACCATACACCCCAGAAATGTTCACTGAGATGTTCCTGTATGCCAAGCCCAGAATAAAGCAGAGTTTCTTGTTTGGAGTCATTCATAGTCTATTTGTGGAGAGAGACATGCAAATAAAGAAATATGACAGGGTGTAATAAGGGTTGTAATACTGGAATGTACGAAGTACAATAGGAAGGACAGAGCAAATAGCCTGGGTTAATATTCAGTGATAGTTGAAAGTTGAACAACGCCTTGAAAAGTTAATAGGAATTTTCCAAGCAATAAGTATATATATATATACACTCATTAAGTATGAGTATATATATACTCATTAAGTATGTGCTAACCATTGTGTTATGAACTTCAAATACATCATCGTACTCAAACTTTTTCCCAGCCTACTGACTGAGGGAGTATAATCCCCATTTTACAGACCAGGACTCAGAAACACAGAAAGATCAGAAAACTTGCGCAAGTCACATAGCTTGTGGTAGTCCTGACTGTCAAACCCGCATCTGTGTGGCTCCAAAGCCTATGTCCTTAACTATTTCCCTATTTCTTTAGATAGAAGTATGTTTTTGTCGGGAAAATGCCTTGTATATACAGTTCCTCTGTCCAGAGTACAAAGTTAAATAGTCATTTCATAGAGTTGTATAGAGTATGCAAAAAATATAACCCACTAGTGGTTTCAGTCATTATTGATCTGTCCTTTTGAGATCTTTTACTTCAGAGGAAGATTTTAGGCAAGAAAGCAACATATAATAGTCAGTGATACAAAGAAGGGCATGGAACATTTGGGGAACACAGGGGTTTGGAGGGCCTGAAGCGCAGGGGTGGAGGGATTGGAAATATGGGAAATATGGGGCATGAGCCTCTGGACGGGATGGGGTCCAGGCAAGACAGCATCACACACCATGCTGTGAGTTTGTGATCCTCCTGTGGGCAACCTCAGCAGTCTGCTTATTGGCCCTTTTTTCTTACAGCCTGGAAAATTGGATCAAGTTTCGATTGATCTCAGCAACCGACCGGCAGCCTAAAAGAACAATGTGGTTACAAGCTCATTTATCTCAAATACCAGCAATTCACCTCATCATGGGTAAGGGGTCATGAAGGGGAACAAGTCTGACTTGATCTTTGTGCTCACTCTTATAAATGGTTTACATACAGAATGAATAATGTAATTCTGTTTGCATTGGGAATTGTTCTGTGAACCTGAGCCCATGTCATCTCTGAACACAGCTGTGTCAAAATGTCAGGGTAAACATGTAAAAGCCCTATTTTAGCATTTTCTAAATCAACTCTTGTGTGCAATAGATGTCTTTGATCTTTATCTTGGTTTTGATAAGGCTCAGGGATATAGGAAGTATCTGTTAGGGAGGACTATGACACATAGATAGTAAAAGAGATGGGGTGAGTATTCCACATAACTATTGCCTTCTAAAGGAAAGTTCTGTCAAAGGAAAAGACTCTTCTTTAGAAGAAGATATTAATTAATACGTACAATTATGACTGTAGCTCAGATTGGCCATAAGGATTGAAGAGAGTAACTCCAGATAAGTAAAAGAAGGGAGAAAGAGAAGCTGGCATGATGTTATGGGGCTGGGGAGTTGTGGGCTTGAGTAGGCAATGAGAAGTCCCTGGTGATAAGAAGGCTGAAAGAATTCAGTAACAGACTGCATAATGTTTAACTGGGAGTTCTTTCCATATTTATGATGTATGCACCATAACTTTGGCAAAATGTATTATTCACAAAAATATACTAATGAGAAGGTTTTTTCCTAAAAATAGAAGCATAGAAAAGAGTTGAGTTTCATGCCTGGGTTGATTGGAGTGGACAGAAACAGCAGGCATGGGATATGTCAATAGTCCACAAATTGAATGAATTCAACAGAAGCAAGAATTCAGAGCCAGAGGTGACACTCCCCAGAACTGACAATGATCTTGAGGAGAGCTCTGGTTTCCACTGGGCAGAGAATACTGCTTAATCTTTGTCTTGAATGTTGCCTGCCTGTCCTATATTTTGGACAGCTACCATGTCAGGAAAGGGTCAGCTAGAGGGAAGGACTGCTATTCCTATTCTTTCGCCATCCTGCTTTAAGTTCCAAATCAGGGAAAAAAATGTTTTTAACTTACCTGTAAGTGCCATGGAAGTGTGGAACTCATTTGTTAAAATGTTCAAAACTTCCTTAACACCATGTTCACCCTGCTCCCGAGGCAGACAGACAGAGACACAAAGAGACATAAAGGAACATTCTGACCATCCACTGAATATAAGTTCTAGATGTAGTCAGAGCTATGATGGGAAAGATGGGAAGTATCTGTGAAGTAAGAATTACCTTGGGAATAAAGGAAAGCACAGAGACAAAGATAGGGGATGAGAGCTATTGAATATTTTGCAATAGGCTTCAGAGGAAGCATGGAGATGCAGCTTAGGTGTAACTATCCTTTAAGAATCATTTTGAAAAGGGCTAAGCTTGGAAAATGAACCACAGGAAAGCACAGAAATGAATGAGAAGCTCCGTATCTTCTTGCTGGTTCGCTTTGCCACTCTCACCTTGTAGGCAAGACCCCATAAGATTGGTCTCCCAAGAAAAATGCACCTAGCCCCAAGGGCCAGAGCCTTCAGCACATCATTGCCAGTTCGGACCCCGCCATCAAGGTAGACTTCAATTTTCCCCTTTACAGCAGCCACCACTTCTGTCAAAGCATCAATCTGAAAAGGAGATACACATGGGCTGGAGGGCTTTCTATTTTGACTCTCAGACTTGGTCTTCCTGGCATACGACCAGGCAAACCAAGCTGAGGAGATGCCCTTGACAATTTCTTCCCCTCCCATGCTTGAGGCTGCCGGTGCTGATCAACTGCAGTGGCAGTCACATTCCTGAGGCCCTTCTGCCTTGACTTTCTGCTTTGACTCCAGTCTAGCTTCTCTTTGACCCCCTTAACTTTCTTACAGATTGGAAGAAATGCTTGGTTGCTCTTTCCATCCCAAAAGGGGCATTTTCCATTTATAATGTTCACTTTAACTTTCTTTTTTTCAAACAACATTTTGACTTTTGATTTTCTTCTACTCTCTCTGTTTCTAGGTTGGCAAAAATAGGAAGTCTCTCCACTGTGAAGGCACTAAGTCTTTTTGGCAAGACAAGTGTACTCGGCCATGGCCTGCATGTCTGGATTGCAGCCTGACTTGGGAAACTGGGCTGCACACTATTTCTCACACACCACTTGGCCAACTTGTCCCTGACTCCCTCATGGCGTATCTGAGAAAATGAGATAGGACTAAAGTACAACATGGTAAAACTAAATTTTGAGACTTTGATAGACACAATAAAAACATCTTATCACCTTGGCCTGATTTTTCTAAGGAGCTTTGTTTCTTATGTCGCCTCTTCAATTCCAGGGAACAGGCCAATAGGCCTTGACCACGCAAGGTGCCCCAGGCCAATCTTTGCTTCTAGGCACCTGCAAGTCTGTAAAGAGGAGTGACAGCAGGCCCTTTATGGATCAAGGGGGAAGATCCTTGGGGAGGGAGTTCTGGAACTCCCTCGGGGTTCTGTCTGTGCTTCTCTGAGGGATAGCCTGAGAAGAGGAGTCAAAACTTGGCCCTATGAGGCCATCTACTGCCAAAGGAATCCATCAGCATTCTATCTGAATGGGATCCTTTGGCTGAGACTGAACAGTATAAGAAACTAGTGAGGAAATAATTTTCTACTTTAATTTATAGGTGAGGGGGTGGAATTGAATATGTTTGGAACTTACATGTAATAACTAGAGAGAATTCACATTCTAATAAGAGGCATTTTTATAGTCCCAGCATGGTATTATTTGGAATATTTTTATACTGTTGTGAAAGAGTTGGGAACTTCTATGAGGAACTTTGAGATCATCTGATTTCGAACTATAGTATCTGAGTTTTTGGCACCCCCTTAGAGTCTGTGCCTGAGGTCAGTGTCCCACTCCCTGCAGGATGTTGCCAGTGCTATAAAAGGTGAGGATTTTGAGAAAAGTTCCCACCTCTATGAGGTTTCATATCTAACATTGTCCTTGTACTTCCTCCTGGGACCAGGGGAAAGGATAAGTCAGCTGTTGTCCCCAGAAGACTCTAATGAACGTCCTGTTCTGTTCTATTAAAAATTAACTCTAAAGCCTCACTGCACCCTAAGGTGAAATTCACTCCCTGTTTTATTTCACAATTATTATCAACTCCACTGCATAGTATGGCTCACTAGAAGAGTTTGTACAAACATGTTTTTCTTTCACGACATCATAAAAATATTCCAGTTGGGCACAGTGGTCCATGCCTATAATCCCAGCACTTTGAGAGGCTGAGGCAGGTGAACCACCTGAGGTCAGGAGTTCAAGACCTGCCTGGCCAACATAGTGAAACCCCATATCAACTAAAAATACAAATAGCAAGGCATGGTGGCCGGTGCCTGTAATCCCAGCTACTTGAGAGGCTGAGACAGGAGAATTGCTTGAACCTGGGAGGCGGAGGTTGTAGTGAGCTGAGACTGCGCCATTGCCCCCCAGCGTGGGTGACAAGAGTAAAACTCTAACTCAAAAAAAAGAAAAAGAGAAAAAATCCAAATAATACCATGCTGGGACTATAAAAATGTCTTTTATTTGGACATGAATTCTCTCTCGTTACTAATAGTCACCAAAACTGCATGGTACTGGTATAAAAATAGGCACATAGACCAATGGAACAGAAGAGAGAACCCAGAAATAAACCCAAATACTTACAGCCGACTGATCTTTGGTGAAGCAAACAAAAACGTGGGGAGAAGATACTATATTTAACAAATGGTGCTGGGATAATTGGCTAGCCACATGTAGGAGAATGAAACTGAATCATCATGTCTCACCTTATACAAAAACCAACTCAAGATGGATCAAGGACTTAATTTTAAGATCTGAAACTATAAAAATTCTAGAATATTACAGGAAAAATCTTTCTGGATATTGGCTTAGGCAAGGATTTTATGACCAAGAACCCAAAAGTAAGTACTACAAAAACAAAGATAAATAGCAGGCACTTAATTAAACAAAGGAGCTTTTGTATGGCAAAGGAACAGTCTGCAGAGTAAACAGACAACCCACAGAGTGGAAGAAAACCTTCACAATCTACACATCTGACAAAAGTCTAACATCCAGAATCTATGAGGAACTCAAACAACAAGAAAAAAAAAACAAAAAATCTCATCAAAAAGTGAGCTAAGGACATGAATAGATAATTCTCAAAAGAAAATATACAAATAGTCAACAAACATTTGAAAAAGTGCTCAACATCAGTAATGATTAGGGAAATGCAAATCAAAACTATAATGCAATACCTCCTTACTCCTAGAAGAATGGCCATAATCAAAAAATCAAAAAATAATAGATGTTCATGTGGATGCAGTGAACAGGGAACACTTCTACACTGTCAGTGGGAATGTAAGCTAGTACAACTACTATGGAAAACACTGTGGAGATTCCTTATAGAACTGAAAGTAGAACTACCATTTGATCCAGCAATCCCACTACTGGCTATCTACCCAGAGGAAAAGAAGTCATTATATGAAAAATATACTTGCACACATGTTTATAGCAGTAGAATTAACAATTGCAAAAATGTAGAATCAACCCAAATGCCCATCAATCAATGAGTGGATAAAGAAACTGTGGTATGGGCTGGGTGTGGTGGCTCATGCCTGTAATTCCAGCACTGTGGGAGGCTGAGGCGGGTGGATCACAAGGTCAGGAGATCGAGACCATCCTGGCTAACACAGTGAAACCCCATCCCTACTAAAAAAACAAAAAAAAAAAAAAAAAAAAAAATTAGCCAGGCGTGGTGGCGGGTGCCTGTAGTCCCAGCTACTCTGGTGGCTGAGGCAGGAGAATGGCGTGAACCTGGGAGGCGGAGTTTCCAGTGAGCCGAGATAGCGCCACTGCACTCCAGCCTGGGAGACACAGTGAGACTCTTCTCAAAAAAAAAAAAAAAAAAAAAGAGAAAGAAAAGAAAAGAAACTGTGGTGTGTATATAGATAGATAGATAGATAGATAGATAGATAGATAGATAGATAATGAAATACTACTCAACCATAATAAGAAGGAATGAATTAATGGCATTTGCAGCAACCTGGATGAGGTTGGAGATTGTTATTCTAAGTGAAGTAACTCAGGAATGGAAAACCAAACATCATATGTTCTCACTCATAAGTGGGAGCTAAGCTATAAGGATGCAAAGGCATAAGAGTGACACAATGTACTTTGGGGACTAAGGGAGAAAGGGTGTGAAGGGGGTGAGGAATAAAAGACTACAAATAGGATGCAGTGTATACTGCTCAGGTGATGGTTGCACCAAAATCTCACAAATCACCACTAAAGAACTTACTCATGTAACAGACATCACCTGTTCCTTAATAACCTATGGAAATAAATTAAAAAAAAAAACTCAGATAAATGATATTTGAATACAATGGTTTAAAAAACCAAATGGCAAACTCTGACCTGTGAGCTGGAAGTTTGTTTTTATAAATAAATAGATCTCGGGCCAGGATTAAGGTGAGGTGAGTGAGGTAGGGTTACACAAGTGCAGAGTCAGGTTTCACCTGAAGCAAAACCCTCACTAGGCTCACAATGATATTGGTGCTGTCTCTGAGTGACGTTGGGTTTGGATGTGAAGCCAAATGGCTTGGGAGAATAACAAGTGGATCAGCACAATAAGATAGGAGAAATTCTCCTCTCCCTGGCCCCTGCCTTAACCAATACTCATTCTCTAGTGGGGAAGCACAATGGGAGAATTAGTCTTCCTCTTTCTCTACTCATTACTCAGTTCTTCCAAAGGAACAAGACCAGCTAAGTTGATTAATGAGAGCTTGACACTTATGGTATGATGTATTTTATTAGTTTTCTTTCAAAAGCCTATATTCTAATGTTTGCTGCTTGTTGGTGATGGGCTCTTCATCGTCTTCATTGACTCAGGGCATGCCATACTCTTTTGCTTTCTCTGTTTTGCTAAATACTGGATGGCTTGTGGGCATCCTGGCAGGGGTTGGGTGAGAGAGCTCACTGTGTGCTCTGCCCAACGACTTTCTCCTAAGGTTGCAGGTCAATGAGTGGGATGGAAAGTAGGAGGCCCGACCGCTTCAGTTCAACTCTTACCAGAGAGCCACAGTGAAGAGTGGCCCCCACTCTCCATATGGGCTTGCCATTCCTCTGCCTCTACCAGTTAGAGCTGGTGCAGAGGAGGAGGTGAGTGGCTGGCTCTTAGGCTTCCCAGCATCATGTGTCTTGGAATGTACCAACCAGCTAGTGCAAATTTCTAATTCCTGGAATTTATCTTAAAGAAGTACTTGAGAATGTGCTATGGATTCAATCACTGATGTATTGTTTAAAATAGGGAAAGATTAGAGGCAATACAGATGTTCTCCAATGGATGTCGGTTCTGTAGTTGTCTGTTCATACTACATACCAGTAAAAATAAGAGGAGCATATATACTGAAACAAAAAGTTGCTCTTAATATAATGCTAAGTAAAAGAAAAATATAACAAAATAGTATTTATACTTTTCTTAAACACAAAAAGTTGTATTTGCATTAAGAAGATGTTAACAATGACCAAAATATTGATGTTAGTGATAGTGATAAAATTAGTGTTAATTTTTATCTTTTGCTTATGCATATTTTCTAATGTATCTGCAGTGAACATGTTTTATTTATGTAAGTGTCAATGAAACTGAAGAAGAAAAAAATCTCATTTCTCTTTCTTAAAACAGGTCAAGCAGCAACAGAACATTTGAAAAAATATAACTCAATGAAAACAAATCAACAACAAATTCCCACAAAAAGATTCTTTCCCTGCCTTCCTTTCCCTCACTTTCTTGCCCTCAAACTTCATCTATAATGGACATAAATTTATGAGTTAAGGGAAAAAATTATGGACTTTTGTAGATTTTAGCAAAAGACTCATTAGGGTGTTTTAAGAGTTTTGCCATGAAAGGTGTTTACTTTAGAACATCTGTCTAATGAAATTCCATATTAACTATTTATTATCTATGTGAACTAAAGACAAGTTACTTAACATCACTAAACTACAGAATCCCCATTGGCAAAACAGGGATAATACCCATCTTGCAGCATTGGCATGAGACTTAGAGATGCTATATGTAAAGGTTGAAAGAACAGCCTAGCACACAGTAGGCTACTAATAATTAACGGTCCTTAAAATTCACAGCTACATACCAACACATGTGGTATGGAGGAGTGAAATATGCTCAGATTGCAGAGTCCCTTGATGTGGACACACTCACACATACACACACAGCACTCACAAACACACCCCTCTCGGAAGTAATCCTACTTACTGAAGCGAGAACCTCATCAAGCTGCCTCCCACCATGGTTGGAAACAATGATGCCCTGGACATTGTGCTTCACAGCTAACTCTGCATCCTCTTTTGTCAGAATCCCTTTAAGGATGATGGGTAATCGAGTTATGCTCTGAAACCAGGAGAGATCATTCCAGCAGAGAGAAGTGCTGATAGGAGTCATCTGGAAATAAGGTATTGAATTTCCCTATAGGAAATAAAAAGGGAACTTAGTCCTGAACTCTCACAAGGCTACTTGATGCATTCCAAAGATGAGACACATTTGGAGAGCTGCCATTTATAAACTGGAAGGAGAAAGAACAGGGCTGGGCATGGTGGCTCTTGCCTGTAATCCCAGCACTTTGTGGGGCTGAGGTGGAAGGATCTCTCTTGATCCCAGGAGTTTGAGACCAGCATGGGCAACACAGAAAGAGCCTGCTTCTGCTCCTCTAAAAAAAATAAATAGTGGTGCACATCTATAGTCCCAGCTACTCAGGAGGCTAAAGTGGGAGGATCACTTGGGCTCAGGAGGTCTAGACTGCAGTGAGTCGTGATGGCGCCACCACATACTAGCCTGGCTGATAGAGTGAGAGCTTGTCTCAAAAACAAACAAACAAACAAACAACAAAGAAACAAAAAGAAACAGGAGCAACAAAACCCAAAAATATTTCTAGCTCCTTTTTCTAACAAAATTAGTATAAAAGAATATCTACTTTAATTGCTCATCATTGACCATGAATCATATTGCTGCTCAATAATTGTGCTAGGATCTGGTGACACAAAGACAAATAAGGCAAAGTTACTACTTTAAAAAAATTCAGAGTTTAGTATATGAGATGGATAAGCAAAAGCATTTATAGGTCAATGTGATATGCTATGGTTGAGACATACCCAGGATAAGAACTAAGCAATACCAAATCAGTTATTACCCAATATTTACTCTTGGCTCACCATGTACATCAAATATTTATAAATCTCGTGCTTCTGGAATTTGAATAAGGATTTTGGAGCACCTCAAGGCCAATCTGTGATTAATGAGAGCCATTGAGTTAGTTGGCTGGATTTCACAGCTGCCCACTGGGTGAAAAGGCTGGCTTTGGTATCTCTACTATAGCCAGGGATTCCCACTTTATCATGGCTGTCTCTCTCTGAGGTACTCCTTGCCATTTAATTGCAGGATTTTAATGGGGAAGGTGCCCTTTGTAGTCACCTAGTTCAGAGATTACAAATAAATGTGCTATAACATCCTGGTGCTCCACAAATGAGTTCTCTGTGTGCGGAGATATTGATTCCTCAGTTTCAAGGCAGTAGGGTAGAACCTGGCCTGTCTAGACTGTCTGGCCAGTCACCTTGGCCATGAACATCCCCTTTGGAGAGTCAGTTTGTCTATGTATGCCAACCAAAATTAGCATTTTCTGAGTGTGTCATAAAGTAGAAAATGTTGGATGAACTTTTTTAGTTTACTCTCCTATTCACGCGAAAATCTTTTCCGTGGCTTTCCTATTTCTCAGCATCCAGCACTGGTCAGAACACTTCTGGTGACAGTTTGGGCAGCTCCAAGGCTGAGAACATTTGGTCTTATATTCTGCTTGTCTGGAAACTCTAAGGAGCAGGAACCATCTGCTTTTTCGAACTGCTGTATCCCCAGTGTCTGGCACAGAGCAGGCATTCAATAAAAGGTTGTGGAAAGAAAGAATGGAGGAAAGGAGAAAAGAGGGAAGGAAATTTGCCTCCTGTAATGCTTGTCCATTGAATTTGGTATCTTTCCTACCTTTTTAGGTGATTGAAGATCTGTTAGTGTTAAGTTCCTCCTCAATTGGTTTCGAATGTCATGTCGCCTATTGCCACATACAGGTGCATCCAAAGTAATTACCAAAGCTTTGAAACCTAGGGATTCTACCCTCTGGATCAACTGTTTGTTCAGCTGCAGGTCTGGATGCACATAGAGTTGGAACCATCGGAGGCCTTCGGGAGCTGCAATAACAATGTCTTCAAGGCTACAGCTGGCAAATGTGCTGGTGATGTAGCAGATACCAGCTGCTTGGGCAGCTGCAAAGCAAAGGACATGACTCAGGCTGGAGGGCAGAGGCCTCTGGACTAGGCTAAAAAGCCTTGGGAGTCTGTGTAGCCTCTGACCATCTTGCCCCATGAATGCAGATAAGACTTAATTTCATTCTGCTTCCTTGTAAGAAAGGGATGGAAGGCAATTTGATGAGACTGAGAGACCTAAAGCTGTTTGGGTTCTCCTCTGTATAACCTGTCTTACAAACCCTCTACTCGATAACAAAATATTTCCAGCTAAAGATGTCATGCAATCTCCAGAATCATGTTGGTTGTGTTATAGCAGTCAGACAGGAAACTGGGCTTCTTATGAACTCCTTAATGAAGCAGAAGAGAATTAGAGAGGGCAGAAGATGAGGGAATGTAATCCCAGTGGAGAATCCTGAACTTCATGGTGGAAAAAGCATAACATATGAAATTAGAAGAATGTTAGTTCTACTACTTCTTTGCTGTGTGACCTTGAGTCTCTCATTTTCTTTATCTGTAAAATGGGGAAAATAATACATCTCTTTAGGGTTGTTGGGAGACTGAATAAGATACTAGCTATGGGAGCATTCTTTATATTGCAAAGTGGCGTACTGCATAGATACTAGTGCTAATGAAGTTGATGGTGATGACATTCAACTGCTGCTGCTGACTGGCAGATTTCTCATTTCCTACTCCATTTCAATGAAATCTCCAACAGGTTAATATCACTGTCCCACTATAACTCATGGGCAGAGAATTTGGGCTAGTCAAAAATGAACACTTTCAATTTTTCATGTCAACAGGAGATACCCCATTCTTTCATCCTACCCCCAAACAACACATTCAACCATGACGACTTAGTAAACTAGTCATATTCATATAGGATATTAATGTTTCAACCTAGCTAGACCTGGTCCCTAAACCCCATCAAGATGGATGTCACATTCAGCTCTAGAATCCTTGAATCCATAGCTTCCTGTATCATGGAGTCAAAGGAAAAGACCTCAGGGAAGCCCTGAGCAATTCACAAAAACAGATGTGTCTTAGAGTGACGATTATGAAGGAGTCCCAAGAGCATTTTCAGCCCCATATCTCCTTTTCTATTTACTATTATTATTATTATTGGTGGTGGTGGTGATGGTGGTGGTGGTGGAGCATGTGGGATGAGAATCAGGTTGACTGGGAAGGAGATGTAACCCAACAAGAAAATCTTTGTCAAACAAGATGACAAGGTCAATTGAAGAGAGGGAAAATGGAATATTTGGGCAACAGCAGTTTCCAGGGCTTGTGTTAGGACCTAATGTCATGATTCTCTCCTCATCCTAAATTCAGAGACTGCCATTCAGCCCTAGTCCTAGCCCATCAGGGGCCAAAGAGAGCCCTAATCTTGGAGCTGCATTAAGCATCCCTTTCCCTGCAGATGATGTGAGCCTGAAGGGCCAGCATCCCTCTTCTGAGGGATGACTTGGTTGGATTTTAGCACCTTCTTATTCATCTTAACCCCCCTTGCACTCTAACTATTCTTTATTATGGAAAATGAATGTTTTCTCAATCTTAGGTTACACAGACATAGCTTTAAGCATTCCCTTTCCTGCTTTCCTTAGTGTTAACCAGATTGTGTTCCTAAAGCCCTTCTAGAGAGAATCTTGGAGCACTCTGCCACTGCTCTGAGGGACCCCTCCTCTGGGAAGGGAACCTCGAGGTGGGGACGGTTCATACCTCTTGCTGTGCTCATTTCCCCATCAGGCCAGACAAGGCAGTGGAACCCTGTGGGTGCGATGCAAATAGGGGCACTGATCTCCTCCCCTTGGATTGTGGTTCTGGTGTCCACCTCAGACACATCTCTCAGGTACCGGGGACGGAGGCGAATTCTGTGCCAGACAACAAAGAGATCTTCTGTTGGTGAGATGATTCTGCAGCAGAGAGGTGCTGCCTGGGGTAGATCCCCCTGATTCCTGATACAAGTCTAAACCAGACTGGGTCCTGTGGAACCTTGGTGGGTTCAGTTGGCTGAGAGCTGAGTAACCTGTGTTGATCCAGAAAAAGGCTCATCTCCAGAAAGCCATTCCCAACACCTCATTTCCCATTACCCAACCTTCTCTGAACCACTCTGTGCACACCAAGTCCACACTATACACTATACCTGCTTTGCTCTGTCAGAGGTCTGTGTCTTTGAGCCATGCCTCCCTGACTACACTGCAGCACTTGGATGGTTTGGTTCATCATAACAAAGACTAAAAGGAAAAGAATAGGCAGGAAGAAGTTCCAGGCTCTTTTCCTCTCAGGTTAGGAATAAGTCTCCAGAAAGTAAGAAAAGGCCACTGAATGAGAACAAATCCCAGGGAGTGATTGAGGTTTTTGTGATAAAGCTAGTTAGTTTGAAGATTTGACTGAAACACTGCTTTAGAAGAAAGTAGGAGAATTTAGAAATAATAAATATGCAAAACACACTTTTTAGATAAATGTTTACTTAGCCTCAGGAGTCTAAAGTTTTCATTGTTTACACAATATCAGTATTTCTGCACACGAACTTAGAAAAATTTTCTGAAAATTCTAATTGTGCAAATTTGAGTAAGATAACCTCAGTCACTTCATCTGAAGTAGGAATAATAATCCAAATTTCCTCATAGTTTTGTGAAGACAGACTGAAATAAATGATGTAAGGTGCTTAGTATAGTGCTAAGTATGAAAATACAGAACATAGGGCTCCCTTTTATACCATTTTTCAGTTTTCTCCTGACCTCTCTATCACAGGAATCAGCAAGTTTTTTCTATAAAGGGCCAGAGAGTAAATATTTTAGGCTTTGTGGACCATGTGGTCTTTGTCACAAGTATTCAGCACTGCTGTTGAAGTGCAAAAGCAGCCATAAACAATAGTAAATGGCTGAGCATCGATGTGTTAAAATAAAACTTTATTTATGGGCACCAAAATTTGAATTTCATATGATTTTTATGTATTACAAATTATTCTTCTTTTGACTCACCACCCCTAGTCGTTCAAAAATGAAAAACGATCATTAGCTCATGGACCATACAAAAATAAGTGGGGGGTCAGCCTCTGCCTGTGGACTGATGTTGGTTGACCGATGCTCCATCTCCTACTTTTTCAGATCAACTCTTCTCTCCCGACTCAATCTCTTATCTCTAAGACTCCTTGGATCTCCGTATTTTCTCCAAACCTGAGTGTTCTCTCCTGTCTTCCATTTTCTTCTCCAAGCCAAAGTTTAGGAACTCAGGAGATCTAGGCCTCCCAGCAGGCCCATCCTCCCTGACCAGGGAACTGGTCATTCTGAGACTCTTGTTCCATCTTGTCAGGTTGCAGAGTTGCTGAGATGAAGGAGAATGACTTCCTTATGCTAGTTATAAGAGAAATTCTCTCTTTTTCCATCTTCCCATAACCCTCCCTCCCCTGCCCCCAACAAACAAAAATAAAAAAATCATCCACATTATTAGGTCTTGAGTGGTCTGTATTTTCTGGAGGCAGAAACCAGGACTACTACTGTCCAAGGAGCTCTCCACCAGTGCACCTTAACCTAACAATAGACAGGCTGCAGAAGACCAAACCTTTGAAATGCTGCAATGTTGTCATCCCGCGTGACACTGTCATCAGCTCCACCTTCAATAAAATCCCGAGTTGACTTAGACAGATGCTCTCGTGCGTGGGCCTGAAAGTCTGTCAGACACACCAAGGACATTTCTGGACCTTCCAAGGAGAAAACAAAACCAAACCAAACCCAGTGAGAACACTTCAGATGCAGAAAAGAAAATGAAGGGGAAGCTGCAGTATGAAATTGTTTGGATTCAACATTAGCCTCCCTGTATTCTTTATCTTAACGGAGTTATTGCCAAAGCCAATGATCCCTAAACCAGTAGGCAGAGAGTAATGGTCCACCCCTCCATTCTCCCATTCCCATTCCCAAATCCTGATTATTTGGCCTTCTGAGTATTTCTCATATTTTCTCCTCCACTCTACACACACCACCTTAGACCTAGTTCAGGCCCCACCACCTCTTAAAACCTCATTACAAATTATTTTTTGTAATTTTTTTTTTAATCTTGCCTTCACATTCACTTCCCATCTTGTCTTCCATCAGCTGCCTGGGATCTTCCTAAAGTTCAAGGTTGATCATGCCTACCTCTTGCTTTTCAATGTACCCACATCATGGCATTCCCAGCTTTCTAGGCCCTGGCTCTTCACTGCCTCACCAGCTTCATTCCTTGGTGAATGTATGCTACCATCTGAGAGTTCCCAGGAACCTCAGTGTTTGAATTGCTGGGGCTGTGGATTACAGAGAGCGGAAAGAACAAAAGAAAGTTTACTTTGTAATTCTTGGCTGGGTCGCTGAACACGTTGCTTAATATTAGCAGGAGGCTTAAGGGTCACCATCTACCTCTTTGCTATTTTTGCTAATTTGGGGACCTGAGAAACAATGTGTGTTGCCTCCATTTATTCCCATCTTCAATTTGAGCCCTATAAACCCAGAGCTTGGTACTTTTGATACAACACCTCTGAAAGAGAAAAGAGGACAAGGCTTGGGGGTAATCAACAAATCTCTCCAGTAGAAACAGGGCAGTAGGAACAGCAGCAGCAGCGGAGATGCTGAAGACACTAGCTGCTTTCAGTTACAGCATGTAGAGCTCCTGTATGAGAGGATTCCAGAAGGAAAAACAGAGAAACGTGAAGTTCTAAGGTCCAGCCAACTCCCAGGCAGTTGGCAGCCGTGTGAAAATTAACCAAAGGTTGTGGGTAGAAACTGAATGGCTTTTAAGTCATTATCTAAAGGAAGAGAATAGTTCACAGTAACTAGGGCTTCAACTAGGAATGAGTTAGTTCCTCTAATGGACAAAGGGGACAGAGAGGCCAGATGGGATGTGACGTGCTGGGAATCTTGGCTGGAGCAGGGATGGGGCAGAACTTGCTTGAGGATACCTCAAGTCAAGCCAGAATCTGGTCAAGCCAGATTCTGTTGAAGTCAAACAGAGAAGTAGCCCTTAGCACTTACTTAAAGGTCTAAGCAGGAAGAAATTATATGACAGACAGGAAACAGAGCCCCCAGGAAGTGCACTGGGCTCTAGATGGAAGCTATGAGGAATAATGTGGAGCCCAGTCATAGCACTTTTTATAGAAAAAGTACTCTTCCAGTGAGTGAGGAGAGAACATTGAGGTATGGAGTTGAGTCTGACAAAGTACTACAACCATATCTAATTTAGCTCATTCTTATTCCACCCTTCAAAGGGTTAATAAACCTTAGTCAAATGAATTAATCATTGCAAGTAACCAATTATATCACAATTGCTTATTTATATCTCTGTGTGCATGAAATAATTAACATACTAGGCCTGGGAATGTTATTCTTTCAGAGGTCTGCTTGCAAGATTGGACCTTGGTTGGTGTCTAAGAACTTGGACTTCAACAGGGTTCCCAGTGTTCCCTGATAAGAGTACCTCCCTGTGTGTAAACTGTTTGTATAAACAATGCGGTTTATGATGAACATTTGCTTCTCCTCTGGGAGTCTAGAATTTTGGTATGGGCTAGGCAGAGGGTGACCACATGATTAGCCCCCAACATGAAACTCTGGGCATTGAATCGCTACTGACCTGCTCAGGTAGGTAACATTTTACATGTGTCATCACATGTAATTCCCCCATGCTGGGGGAATTAACTGCATCCTGCATGAGTCCACTGGCAGAGGACTCATGGAAGCATATACCTGGTTTCCTCCAGATTTTGCTGCAAGAGCCATTTTTCCCTTTGCTAATTTTGCTTTCAGTAATAAAGCATAGCCTCAACTATTTGTTCTTCCTAATGAAGAACTGAACCTGGGATCCCCAACACACTTTGTATTCCCAGGCATTAGGATACTACATGGCACTGAGTTGCTGCTTACAAGTGTTCCTTACTTGAATTTAACATTCCCCTGCCTGTCATTTATCTTCATCATTGGATGAGAGTTCTCCACCAGGTTTCAACTCCTGATATCTCAATAAATCCACGTATCCTATACATTACACACTCATAGAAATGCTGTTCTACACAATTCTAGCATAAAGATTGTGTCTAATCCAGATGAAATATGCTCACAATTATGGCAGAGTCATGTGCCTAGAATAGTGTCAATTATGTGATTTGAAACCTGCTTGGACACAAAGAATCAACCCTAGCATCTTATATATAACAAACACTATTTTTTCTCATTTCTATACCTCTTCTAATTTTTCCTTAGACTCTTTTCTATCTATAGCTTTTTCTTAATGTCCCTGTGAAGAAGACAGAGAAGGTAATAGTGGACTGTGAATTTTTGAGTTTTGCATTTAAAGAGACTGAGGCCTCAGAAATAAAATAACTTGTGAAAGATCTGTGATATGGTTTAGTTGTTTCCCCACCCAAATCTCTTCTTGAACTGTAGCTCCCATAATCCCCACATGTCATGGGAGGAGCCTGGTGGAAGGTAATTTAATCATGGGAGTGGGTTTTCCAGTGCTGTTCTTGTGAGAGTGAATGAGTCTCATGAGATCTGATGGGTTTATTTATTTATTTACTTATTATTTATTTTGGGATGCAGTCTCACTCTGTCACCCAGACTGGAGTGCAGTTTGTTCTAGACTCATGTGTTCTGGTAGCTTCTAAAGATAGACATTCTCTATTTTCAATTTCATGTAAAGAACAAAATAGTTGGTTCTCATAAATTGCTTGTTTTATTTAAGAGCATTTTGTAGGTTTAAAAATACAATTATGCATTTTTTTTTCTTTTTATAATGTATGTAAAGCTTAGTATGGTCTCGGCTCACTGTAATTTCTGTCTCCCCAATTCAAACAATTCTTCTGCCTCAGCCTCCCGAGTAGCTGGGATTATAGGCATGTACCACCACATCCAGCTCATTTTTGTATTTTTAGTAGAAACAGGGTTTCATCATGTTGGCCAAGCTGGTCTCAAACTCCTGACCCCAGGTGATCCACCCACCTTGGTCTCCCAAAGTGCTGGGATTACAGCCATGAGCCACCATGCCTGGCGGATCTGATGGTTTTATAAAGGGCAGTTCCCTTTATAAAAAGTGCTCTCTTACCTGCTGCCACTTAAAACATGTCTTTGCTCCTCCTTCACCTTCCACCATAATTGTGAGGCCTCCCCAACCACGTGGAACTGGGAGTTCATTAAACCTGTTTTTCTTTATAAATTATCCAGTCTCAAGTATTTCTTTTACAGTATGAAAATGGACTAATACAGTAAATTGGTACCTGGTAGTGGGACGCTGCTATAAAGATACCCGCAAATGTGGAAGTGACTTTGGAACTGAATAATAGGCAGAGGTTGGAACAGTTTGGAGGGCTTAGAAGAAGATAGGAAGATGTGGGAAGGTTTGGAACTTCCTAGAGACTTCTTGAATGGCTTTGACTAAAATTTTGATAGTAATATGGACAATGAAGTCCAGGCTGAGGTGGTCTCAAATGGAGATGGGGAACTTGTAGACAACTGGAATGATGGTGACTCTTGCTATATTTTAGCAAAGAGACTGGCAGTATTCTGCCCCTTCTCTAGAGATCTGTGGAACTTTGAGCTTGAGAAAGATGATTTGGGGTATCTGGCAGAAGAAATTTCTAAGGAGCAAAGCATTCAAGAGGTGACTTGGGGGCTGTTAAAAGCATTCAGTTTTATGTATTCACAAATATATGGTTTAGAATTGGAACTTATTTTTAAAAGGGGAACAGAGCATAATAAAAGTCTGGAAAATTTGCAACCTGATGATTTGATGATAGAAAAGAAAAACCAATTTTCTGAGGAGAAATTCAAGCCGGCTGCAGAAATGTGCCTACGTAATGAGGAATCAAATATTAATTGCCAAGACAATGGGGAAAATGTCTCCAGGGCACATCAGACATCTTCACTGCAGACCCTCCCGTCATAGGACTGGAGGCCTAGGGTGCAAGGCACCAGAGCTGGGTGCCGTGTTCCAGCGGTGGCTAAAACCAAAAGTACAGCTCAGATTGTAGTTTCAGAGGGTGCAAGCCCCAAAGCTTGGCAGCTTCTACATGGTGTTGGGCCTGTGTATGTGCAGAAGACAAGAACTGAGGTTTGCGAAGCTTTCCTAGATTTCAGAGGATGTATAGAAGCACTTAGATGTCTAGGCAGAAATCTGCTTAAAGCAGAGCCCTCATGGAGAACCTCTGCTAGGGCAGAGCAGGAGGAAAGTGTAGGGTTGGAGCCTTCATACAGAATCCCCATTGGGGCACTGCCTAGTGGGAGCTCTGAGAAGAAGGCCATCATCCTCCAGACTCCAGAATTGTAGATACACTGACAACTTGCACTGTGCACCTGGAAAAGCCACAGACACTCAACACTAGCCTGTGAAAGCAGCCAGAAGAGAGGCTGTACCCTGAAAAGTCACAAAGGCAGAGCTGCCCAAGACCATGGGAACCCACCTCTTGCATCAGTGTGACCTGGATGTGAGACATGGAGTCAAAGAGATCATTTTGGAGCTTTAAGATTTGACTATCCTGCTGGATTTTAGCCTTGCATGGGGCCGTAGCACCTTCAATTTGTCTAATTTCTCCCATTTGGAATGGCTGTATTTACCCAATGCCTATACCCCCATTGTATCCAGGAAGTAACTAACTTGCTTTTGATTTTACAGGCTCATAGGTAAAAGGGACTTGCCTTGTCTCAGATGAGGCTTTGGACTGTGAATTTTTGAGTTAATGCTGAA